CCCCTAAGGTTTGCCTGGGCAGGGGGGCAGCAGAGCTGGATCCCCCCAGCGCGGGAGCCACAGCTCTCACCTGGAAGCCAAGGAACGCGGGAGGGAACCGAGCTCCTGCCCMCTGCCGCAGTGCCTGCGCCCACAGCTATCCGAAAACGCGCTTTTCCCGACCCCCGACCCCGACCAACACAGGGAGTGTGGAGCATCCAGAGGAGATATCCGAACCTTCCCGCACCCGCCGCCCTGGGGAACTCATACCCTGCGCCTGGGTCGCCAGGCGCGCGCCCAGCCCAGACCCGGACTGGTACAAAGGCTCTGGAGCCTGAGCTCCAGCGGAGCGACCCCGGGGGCCCAACCGCTTGGGGAACCTCTGAATCCCCATAAAAGCCAAGACTGCATTCCTCCCCAAACTGCCCCATCTCCGGACTGGCTCACCAGGTTCCCTCTCCAGCCAGTGTGGGCAGCCCTTCTCCTGGCAGCTTCCTTTCCATCCGACCCTCTTCTGCGGGTTTGTCCCTCTCACCTGACTGATCACCCGCATCCGTCGACATTCCGCTTGCTCCCCTGGACGGAAAATGTTATTTTCCCAAGTCAATTCTCTTTGATTTGGACCCATTATTCCTATTATTACTCTTATTCCCCGTTTTTACGCATTTGTTGCCCATCCGAACAGAGCCACTGGGCGAGAAACACTGAGCCCCCATGAGGGAAATTCAGAAAATTGACCATTTGAGGGGAGRGGAACACTACTATATCTGAAATCTATAAAATGGGGTGGAAATACCATAATGAACCCTATATTTTTATTACGTGCAAATTATTCATGACTTTTGGTAGCGCTCAGTTCATAGATTGAGACCCGAACAAGGTGCGGTGTTGGAATAAACCAGAGTCGGTAGGCGCCGCACCAGAAATTTTCACGTGGAGCAAGAGTGCCATCTAGCGGCATCTTTGCAAAAAGGTTCCCACCACCGGTTCTGCCAGGTTCTCTGAGAGCCAGCCACCACCGTGACAAGCGAGAGAAACTTTCATTATTAATAGAAAAGGGGGAGGGAAAGAGCGGGCAAAAGAAAAGTCATTGGAATCACGAAACGGTTCATGAAATTGTGCAGATAAAGTAAAAGAAAAAAAAACAAGGGAGGAAGAAAAAAAGAAGTTATAAGCTTTTTTCTTTCTACTTTCAGCCCCCCGCCTGCAACCAGCCGCTTCTACAGAAGGCCGCCAAGCAGTGCGCCTTTATGTCCGTAAAAGGGGGAGTCAAGCACTTCTCAACCCCCACACTATTGTTTCAAATTCAGACGAGTAACAATTGGGCTATTTGTGGGGGGAGAAGAAGCCTGAGAGGAGGGGATAGGACTGTAAAAGGATCAAGAGGCTGCCCTCTCGCCCAGACGTCTGGCCTTGCCAGACCTGTGTGGGGTGTGTGTGGGTGGGTGGGTGTGTGCGCGCGCGCGCGCGCGTGCTTGAGCACGAGGGCGAGTGTGTGTGCAGGGCCTTCTTGCTTAAGACGCCTGATTGGGGGGGGGGGCGGGGAAGAACAAAGACAAGAGTCCAAATTGCAATCTATGAAGCATTTTCAACAACAAAATGTTACTCTCCTTCTCTTTTCTCTCCTCTTTGTCTCCTGGGGTGGGCTTCCCCAAAAGTCCCAAACCTGGAGTCCTGGGCGACTGAGGGTGGGAGCTGCTGGAGAGGGGGCCCACCCATTCCCCTTCCCCGCCAGGCAGGGAGCCCAGGCCCAGCTGCGGCTTTCTCAGCTCCGGAAAGTTTCCCCTCACTGTTTGCTTTGCTGCTGTTTAGTTTCTTAACCTTCAGAAATTTATACGCTATAAACTTTTATAGCGGTCATATTCTTTTATTGCTGCGCACACGGCATTGAATTCCTCTCCCGGCTTTTCTCTGCCTCGCACTCTCTCGGTCTCCCTCTCTGAATTTCTCTTTTATGACAACTGATTTCCCCATCTCCGGCTTACTACCATGCGCATCTTCGCCTTTGTTTGTCTTGAAAGAAGCCACCGGGCTGGGGACCCAGGAGCTGCCGCCCGAGGCCACTCCAGGCTCCCTCGCCCCCTTTTCCTGCAGCACTCCGATCGGCTCCAGCCTCGCCTTTTGCATTTCCTTTGAAGAAACAAGCTGACTCCTTGGCTCAACCTCAGCGCCGGCTGAGCCAACGGAGCCTGGGATGGCCAGGCAACCTAGTCTACACCAGCTATAAAGCCAGATTCATTTCCATCCCTAACGGAACCCTCCTCGGAAGGCGTAAGGGAACCTCGCTATCTCTGCCTCTCTAACAGGATCACTTCATCCTTTCGTTAGAAAGGGGTAGGCCTGGCATTTTGCAGGCTCTCTTCACTGGGGCCAGTCTTTGTCTCCACCTCTACCCCAATCCACAGGGTCTCCGTGGGTTGCAGTGTGGCAGGGGTGGGCCTGTGAAAAGCTCCAGCAGGAGGCAGCCCCGGGAGCGCCGGCCCCATAGCAGTGGAATCCTAAGGCTTGGAGAAGAAAGGCAGGGATCCCCCAAAATGGGATGTTTGTAAAAAGCCCTGACTGGGACACTGCAGTCTGAGAGGCCAAAAAAGGGCCTCTTGAAATCGAGCTTAATTCTGGGGACTGTTTGGGAAGATGATTCTTTTTTTTTTTTTTTTCCAATGGAGACATTTGTGTTCCACATTCAGCCCCTACCCAACCAGCTTGCCTCAGAACAAGGCTGCTATTCCATGGCTCTAAAAACCGGGGTGGGGGTGGGGGCAAAGAACCCTATGTGGCTGCTCAAATAAGATCTCAAGCCAGGAACCTGTCTAGACCAGTCTACTCTGCTGCAGGGAATAGCAGAGAGGGTATTGCCTTCCTCCCTTGCATGGTATTTTAAAGTGCCCAAGCCAAAGTGGTGATCTCAGTTGCCTGAGAGAAGAGCCACTTCCAGGAGTTATAGAGCAGGCCTTGCCTTCCCTCTGGCTCTCCAGACAGTGGGGAGGTCTCCAGAGCAACTGTCTGGTGGAAGACCCCCTGCTCTAGGAAGACCCAGTCCCCTCTCCAAACCACAGATATTTCTTTTCTTCCTCTTCCAGTCTCCTCTTCCTAGTGCTCTTGTTGAATGGCTCTTACTCAATTTAAACACCTTGGGTCGTAATCAGCTAGCTGTCAGCTCCACCAGTGAGTGCCCAGAGGTCTGTAGGGTCTAAGAAGAAACTTAGGGAACACAGCAATCTTTTTTCCCAAGCTATGCTTTTAGCAACTCAGATTTCTACCTATGGTAGACGACAGCCAACACAGAATGAGACTCAGGAGAGATTTATTTTCTAGAGTGATATATATTTTTTGTTCTTTTTCTTTTTTCTTCCAAAACAAACAATTAGAGCTCTAGGCCCCCTGCCCTCCCCACTCCCACCCACAACCCTCCCATATAAGCAACAACTTAAAACAGTCGAGACAATCTCCCCCAAAGAAATCACAAAACACAAGCACAATTTCACAACAGCCACAACAATGCAAAAAAAAAAAAATCTACTGGAATGCCCCCTTGCAGGGTCAGGAAAAGCAGAAGCAAGAGTCCTGGAATTGAGGGGATTGAGTAGTGGGCAAGCAGGATAGGGGAAAGGAAGCAGAGAGTGAGCTTCGCCTGATGCTTAGTTGAGATTTTGCCTCTTTCCTTTGCACGCGGGAACTGTTCCCCCAGAAGGATGCACAGAACCAGCCACACAGAGCAAATCACCACCCAGGCTGGTGCAGTGGGAAGTGAAGCCCAGTGCTGGAGTGGGCAGTCTAAGGGTTCTTCCTTGTGTGTCAGGAAACCCAGTAGGATGAAGAGAGATGCGGCAGCTCAGTGCCCTGGGGCCATAGCTCCTCCCTGTCCCCTATAGCTTACTCCAGAAGAAAGCTGGGAAGTCGATTCACAATAAATTCTCAATCAGAGTCTCCAAACCTGGCTTTCCTGTCTACAATGGGGTTGACATGGGAAGGGTGGGTGAAGGGTTGAGGGAGTGTTCTAGAAGGGGCAGCTTGACTCCCTGGTGCAAGGTGGATTTAGCTGAACAGAGTTGATTTCAGAGCTGAAGGGGATGCAGAAGAATGCAGGGCTGTGCAGAGCAAGAAAAGCTACAGTCTCTGTCAAGTGGGGCACAGATGAACGGGGGAGGACATTATCAAGGCTCTACAACCCACAGTTTGACCTTCTTTTGTTGGAAGGTGAGGAAAACATCATGCAGAATTAACATTTCCTGCAACAAAATGTATATGGAAGGGGCTCCATCTAAGATAACTTCATAAAACCACTTACTGCCTTTTCTTGCCCTTTCTAGCCTACCACCTTGGGGACTAGGTTGTCCCCATCTGCCACAGGCGGTGTCCTGGGGTAGAGTTGGCAATTCCATGTGGGATGGTATTGGGATGCTGAGACTTTGGGCTGCAGCACCTCACTCAGGCTTCTGTCTCTAGACATCTTCCTGGTATATATTTGTATCTGGGGTAGAAACCCAAGCTTGCCTGATGATTTGAGAGCTGTTCTGCCAGACTTGGTGTGTGATGTTTGCACTTAGAGTGTCATTTCATTTGACTTAATTTCACCAATTTACTGTGAACTCCAAACTTTATGCCTGTGGGCGTTTACTAGGCTGTGTGCAGTTGGCGTGTCCCTGGGTGACTTCTGCTTAGGTGCAGAGAAGGAAAAGGCGGACTGGAAGTGAGGGGTTAGGACTTCTCAGAAACATTACAGGGGATTCTAGGAGTTTGACTAGCATCTCTCTTTCCTGGTGGCCCACCCCTTTCTTAGGAACCAACTACTTCTATCTTCTAACTTAACAAAACTTTCTTCTGACACCCAGGAAGAAGGGAGGGACAGGTATGGGCAAAGGAAAGGAGGCAGGCTCTAGGTGCAGTTGAGGGATTGTGGAGAGGAAGCCCTTCCCCATTCACTTGAATACATCTCAGACAGCACTGGCTTTGCAGCCATCACATAAATAAGAGCGAGATGGGGAAGGGCTGGGAAAGGCTGGGAAGGGCAGGGGTGATCTTTACTCCTTGCCCTGCTCCTTATTCATTTTCTTCATTTTCATCCGCCGGTTCTGAAACCAGATTTTGACTTGTCTCTCACTCAGATTGAGGAGTCTGGCCACTTCGTGCCTGCGGTCCCTGGTGAGGTACATATTGAACAGAAACTCCTTCTCTAGCTCCAGCGTCTGGTATTTGGTGTAGGGACAGCGCTTTTTCCTGGAAGAGCGGGCGTGCAGCCAGTTGGCAGAGGGGTTGGCTGAAAGAGAAGCAGGGATAGAATCAAAGGAAGGAAGGGGGTGAAGGGCCCCAGACCAAGAAGTGCACCCTTGGTCTCCTCTCTCCATCTGACATTGGAGAAGAGCACCTGGGCCTTCAAGCTTCCAGACAAGGTCCCAGAAATGGGCCAGCAGCCACTATAGACACTTTAGAAAGGATGAAGCCAAACTTGTGCCTAGGCTTCCTCACATACTTTCAGAGCTTCAAGAATACCTCAAGTTCTTTCAATCTATTTCCACTTGGATCCAAACTGGTAGGACTCAGGTCAGAGCCCCACCATCAGCACACTAGAATGGCTACGTGAGGTCAGCCTGAAGGATCCCTGGCTCTAGGTCTGAGAGGAGATGAGGAATTGGGAGAGGGAGAATGGCTTCTCTTCAGTCATATCCAAGAGATCCCCTAATACACCCTGCCTTGATCATGAGAGAGCTTGCATCTCTAGGCCACATGGCAGCAGGCATGTGTAGCTACATAGATATTCCCCCTCCCTGCCACCACACACCACAAATATGGGTCCACACTTAGAGCCGCAAACATTCAGCACACTCCAATTCATGAGCAACCCAATTGCAACCATTTATCAACTCCAGCCTCTGGACAGGGAAGCACTAGGGCTCACAGATTACTTATGGCTGCAATAGCCTCTTCTTTTCTGCTGCTCAGCTTGCAGTTTGGTTAACACAAGTTCAGGGAAACTGGGAAGCAAAATTGCTCCAGTCCCAAGGTGGAGAGCCAGAGATAAGGTAGGGGTAACAGAGAGCCCTTCACAGCACATCTAGCCTTTTAATTGGTCCTGTATATGTGGAAGGGGACAGATAAAGGGGGCAGATACTGAGTTAAAGAAGGGCAAAAAGAGGAAACAAAAATATATACAGGGTTCTCTTTTTCTCCTTGCAATCTTTCCCCAGACCCTAGAACTCAGAAAAGTTGCCAAATAAAGCTGAGCTAATTAAAAATAATATCCACCCTCTCCCAGCTTCCTTCTCCCCAAATGAAAAGCATTGAATTAAAAAAAAATATTCAGTTCATCCTACACTAAGTACCATGTCTTACCAATTTGCAGCACTATTTTCTTAATGTGATTGTCTGGGATGGGACCCACAGCCGCATTAAATATGAAAGAGGGGAAAAAAACTGTTAATAATTGATCCTAGCCAAATGGCCGCCTTGCAATAATGGGCTTTCCAGGCAGTTTGGGGGTATGGGGTGGTGGTGTCTGGGTATGTGAGGGAGGGTTTGGGAAGAGCTGTTTCCCCAAATGCCAGCTCTTATGGTTTGACCTGGCTGGTTGGAGGTGTGGGACCCACAGGAGCCTGGGGAGAGTGGGGCAGCTTTTTACTTTTTGCAGGCAAGGAGCTCCAAAGGTTCAGTGGACCACTCTATTGGTGGGATCTGGTGCGGCGCACAGAAACTAAAAATCTGACTCCTTACTCCCCCAAAAGATTAAGAGGTGAGGATTCAACCCACCGGCATGCATGTAGGTTATTGTTTGGGGCTAAGAGCCCCCCAATTGACTTGCCCTTCTCTGCTTAAAAAATTCGAGAACCCTCTCCTCCCAGCCAGCAGCACCTTCTGGAAATTAGCCAGACTTGGGGTTCTGACAGGGGTGCTATTGAGGAGAAGGAGGCGAGGAGAAATTCCCCAGGAAGGGTAAAGTTCTCCGCCTCTCCTCACCCGTCTTTGCCCCCACCACTCTTCTCCCTGGGGTCTCTTCGGGATGTCACCTTCTCTGCTCTGGCGGTGGGCCCCGAAATTCGGAAGTGATTCCCCGACTCCCCGCGAGGCGGACAGCCTTGGCTGGGGCTAAGGAGCCCCGCGGAGAGCAGCGGGAGCCACAGAAAAGGAAGCGGCAACCCGAGCGAGGATGCCTGAAGAGGGGAGGGGGCCACCGGAGGGAAGGCTCCCGGGGAGGGGCCGGCGCATCCGGGGAGGGGGCTCAGTCACCGCATCCTGGGCTTCCCCCGCCCCTCCCGGCGCCGGCTGCGGACCCTGCGCGGCTACTGCGCGAGATCTGCTAGGAACAATCCTCCGCCAAGCTGTTGCATCGCAAATAAAATCCTAATGAGCCCCCTCCCCCTTCCCCTTGGCCGGCTTTTACGGTCTGCGCGTGGCTCGGGGAGCTCTGCCAGCCGCGCGGTCCGGGGCAGCCCCGTACGCTCCGGTCGGTGCCGGCGCAGGGTCTTGGCCTCACTGGCCATCAGCCCCGAGCTCCTCCACCTCTCCCGGCTGTTGCGGGTCTTATCCGGCTTTCAACCAGGGCCTCGGGGAAAGAGGGGGAAGGGAGGGTGAGAGACCAGTGAGTTGGTCCCTGAGCCCCAGTTCCCCACAGGACTTGGGAGCAGTGGGGGCGGCGTTGCTCAGCGGTTTCAGTCTCCCCTTCTAGGGCATTCGGCATTTTCCTCTCCCTTCTTCCTTCCTGCTTCCCTTCCTTCATCTTTCCTCCACCCCGAGCTCTCTCCGGCCATCGCCGCGTTTTCCCTTCACATTGTCCCAGTTTATTGCCTCTCCCCTCCCCTCCCCCTCGCCTGGCCTTCGGCCTGGGTATTTCCTCACTTTTTATAACTTACTTTGATCCGGCCTCTCTTTGTCCTCGCTTCCTTCGCAAATTTTATTGTCCCCGTAGCCGGGTCTTTGATTAGACAGGACGGCCTCCCTGCCCGCCGAAGTTTCCAAACTGTACTCGGGCGTGCCCTGTTTGAGCAGCTCCCCAGGCGCGCCCAGCAGCGGCTCCGCCTTCACCGCCGCCTGGCCCTGCCCCGGGGCAGCTTCGCCGCGAGGCGCGGGCTCCAGCCAGGTGCGGAGGTACCTGCTCTCGGCCGGCGGGACGCCCTGGGGCTGGATGTAGGGGTGGTAGACAGACGGCAGGCTTCCGGACGCGTGCGGGCTCAGCGGCGCCCAGGAGGCGCCGAACACCGGCGCTTTGGGCTGGAAGCTGCACGAGGGGAACTCCAGGTGCTCCGCGTGGCCCGGCTGCCGCGGGCTCGCGTACTGGCCGGAAGGAAACTTGGCTGGAGGCGCGTCCTCACTCTCGTGACTTATGATCGAGTCGACATAATAGCTGCTAAGCGTCCCAGAAATGGACATTCTCAGACATTATCCGGGCGCTCGCAGGGGGAAGGGAAGCGCTCGCGCGGCGGCGCCCAAGCAGGGAGAGGTGGCACCCGGACCGGTGTGAGGGCTTTCGGACGCGACCCCCCCAACCCCCCACCCTCCCACCCCCACCCCCTGCTCAACTTCTCAGCCAACAAAGTACAGTGGAGCAGCCCGGCTCAGCGCTCCTTGCAAAATGATTGGTCAAAGTTTTTCCGACTGCCTGATAAAGCGTCAGCTCCGACATAAATCAATCGGGCGAGGGGGCTGCGCTCTCGCTGTCATCCGTCCGCACTGCATTCCATATCGAGGATGGATTGTTTTATGCTGATGCAATGTGCTATCACGTCAGGGCTCCGGCGGCCACGTAACCCCAGCCTGAGCTGCTGGCCGCCCGGCCTCCTCCCGCCTTTGCAGGAAGGGGGGGTATTCTCGACATGGGGCGGCGGGGGCGGAGGAGAGGCGGAGGCAAGCAGCGGGCTGCCGCGCAAGGGGGACGGCAGCAGTGGAGCCCTCTCCCTAGGCGGGTCGGAGAAGGAGGGAGGGAGAGCACGCAGAGGGAGAGAGAGAGCGCGCCCCAGCCCCGGGAGCAGCCAGAGAGGTCCCACAGGATAATTAAAGAGGAGGTAGTTCTGCCCCCCCAACACCTCCACCTCCACCCCGCAGGCCCTCATTTCCTCTTCTCTGTCCCCTTGACAGAAGATGTTTATTAAACAACAGCAGCAGCAACAATCCACAGGAGATGAAGTGCAAGGGATGGGGGAGAATTTGGGGGATTTTATAGGGCGTTATCATCTTTAGAGGGGGTTCAGGTGCACTATTTGGGGGAGATTTATATGACTGGGAGCTTCCCCTTCTTCCACAGTGGCACAGGGAGGAGAGAGGGGAATAAAATGGGATGAATGTTCAAGGACCCATTCACTATGTGTACTGAAATTAGAACCTGCCAGAGGTCAAAGGGATTCATTAGGCCCTGGAAACTGGAGCCTCCAAAAGAGTTTAATACAACTAACCAAAGTCTTTCACTCCTTTAAATTTCTTGGGTCTTTTTGGATGTGTGGGGGCCTGATATTTCTACTTTCCTTCAATGAGAAACTTCCCAGGCCCCTAAAATTGGGCAGAAGAGGGAGCTAAATAAAAGAGGTTAAGTTAGTACCCTTGAGGTGTCATGGAGTGGAGGCTTGGGAAAGGGTCCCCAGCCAGAATGGGAAGAGGTCCCATTCCACCCAGAAAAGGAGGAACAGAGGCCAAATATTCCACCCTCCTGTCCAGCTCTTCTAATTCGGATTGTCCTTCTGGACGACTTACAAACACTGGTATAGGGCACCAACATGAGCAGCAAGCCCCCAGGGTCAGTCTCTCCCCCACCCGTTGCTTTCCCTCCCGCTGATCCCCTCGCTGGAGCTTCCAAATAGTCCGTTTTATTAGAATCTACTCCGCGGCCCAGAGAAGGAACTCCCCGGGGGCTGCTGGCCAGCTTCCTGGCTCTTCTCCCGGCCACTGCTCCTTCAGTTTCTGCCCTGGGTACAATCGCCTCTCCTGGCGTGTGTATTCGCAGACCCTAGACAGACCCAAATCCCTCGGGTTGGGTTTAGGGGCAGATTTCCTGGCAATTTTCTGACCCTGGACCATTATAAGGCACGCTGCCCTCAGAGCCATGGCCTCAGCCCCCGCCCAGTCCTTTTAACAAAAGCGGGCCGTTCTAACTTGGGGTTTTATCTTTTTGGCCACTACCCCTCTGCCCTGCGGAAGGCTGCGGATAACCTCCGCACACGCACAGACACACTCCCGCCCGCTTTTCTTTCCAAATGAAGCCATCTCGTGTCATTACGTGTGAAATACGAGGGCGAAGCGCCATATTTCTTCACATTATGGCGATTTCAAAATGATTTTTTAAAGATCAATGCTGGCGCCCAGCCGGCCCCCTCCTACGCTACCCCCGCTCTCTGAGGGCGACAGCCGGGCAGATCCGGAACCAAACAGCGTGAAGATCTGCTTTTTCCATAGGACCCAAGTGGGGAAACAAAAATCCGATGCAAATTCTTTTAAGTAGCAGTTGGACGCTTGGGAAAGTCAGGAGCTCCCTGGACTTGCCAGCTAGAAACCAGGGCGCAGTCAAGGCAAAGCACCTGTTCTCGATTTCCCAGACTTTTGGAGTCTGCTGTTGGCTTTACCTGTAATAAATATATTCTGCAGGAAAAAAAAAAACTCCCTGCCATAAATAACGGCGTTATGAAGCATGGCGGGCTGAGTATATGATTTCTGTAGTATATAAATTAGGGCCCAAAAGGACATGTGAACTGTGGGCTGGGGCTTTTTTTATTTATGGAAAAGTCACAGCCCTGGGCTGTTCTTAAGATCCAAGCTGTGCAGACACTGGGCTCTGACTGCCGCCCTCCTGGTTCCTACTCTCTGGCCCTGGCTTTGCCGGAATGCCTCTCTTCAACAAGAGAGGAACCCAGAGGGCCGCTTAGTTTAGGGGGAAAGTTAGAAGAAGAAGACCGCACGTTTGGGCTCATAGCTCGAGTCCTGCAGCAAGGGTGAGATGTTCCAGCAGACAAAGTTTCAGGTTTGTGGGTTGCTAACTGTCTGGGGAGTTTTCTCTAATCTCTGGTGACTCCTAGATGCTGGGTAAGGAGGGACTCAGGGCTCTTTTCTGAGGCTTAAGCTTCGTTTTTTGCTCACAAAGAAGCTGGAAAGTGGGAACAATTTCAGAATGACATGTTTTGGAGGTCTTAGTCTTCTTGAGAGAGGCAATTCTTGAGAGAAGAGAGTGAACTTGCCCTCAATTCCTGGAGTCTGCATCCCAGCTCATCTTCCTCCAGTTGGAGATATGGATGCACCAAGCAATGTGTCTCACCCCAGCCAAGCTTTCTAGAAAGTATTGTTGCCCCAAATTGGAGTCCAACTCCAGCTCAAGCATATGATTAAAGGGTTATTGCAAAGGGCACCCCTTGTTTATGTGCTCTGAGAATATATGAATTCCCCAAACTTTGTTTTCTCCCCAGACAATGGTACCCACCATGACAGGAGAGCAAACAGGATTGTGGCCCCTGGAACCCAGCTTCTAAAGACACCTAATAGAGGGACCACTCTGTTGGGGGGGTCACTTTGTCCTGAGAAAGCAAAACTGCTCCAACACCCCACCCCCAATCCTAAAAAGAAAAAAATAAAACCCTGCCTTCCCTCACAGCCTCTTGCCATTCCTTGCACTGAAGCCTCCCCTGAACACAGCTGGGGCTGGGGCTGGGGCTGGAGTTGGTTGCTGGTAGCTTGGGAAGAGCAGGCAGGAAAAAGCAGGCAGCCCCAGTCTACAGGGGAGCCAGAGCAGCCAAGAGCAAAGAGGCTGAGGTTTGAAGAGCAGAGGCCGATGGTGTCTTGAATCAGCTGGTGAGTGCCTGTGCTTTGGGGGCAACTTTTGGAAGGGTACTTGCCCAAAAAAGAGAGAAAATCTGGAGGGAGGAAAGTAAATGGTAGACATATTAGAAAGTAAAAATAAAAACAATGAGAAAAGGGAAATTGTTTTTAATTAATAAGCTAAGCTGAAACTGACGCATATTGTATTTGAATAGATAAGTGCACCCTGTATGTTTATTTCAAATAAATATTTATGTATGGGAAACTAGTACTCAAATGTTATGTGCTCTATACTGTGTAAATATATAATAAATAAGTATACCCAGCCTCAATACTGGATGTGCCTGGGTGTTCATGTATAAGATCTAATTACGCATATGTGGATACCTGCATAACCTTTGTGAAAGATGTGGGCTAATGATTCTGCTCATATAAGATGATCAGTGAACCAAAAGCTTGTGTGTACATTTTCTATAAACATCAACACTCTTATGGAGAGAGCAAAAACCTGGGGATTTGTGTATTTGAAATGTGGCTATAAAATATTAGCTGATTTAGAAGTCTTACTTGAAAATCTGCCCTTAATTGATATTCAAGAAAAATATATGCCATATCTTCAAACAAATGCATGTACCTTAAAGCTGGATTCTATTACAATTTCCTTCCAGAATATTTGTCTAAAAGATGAAGGAAATGCCTCAAATTGACCCAGGAAAGGTCATGAAATTTGGTGACTTTTTGTCTGACCATGAAATCCTTTACTGCGTATCTTACCCCAAATTGCAAGAACAGTGTGCATTGTGTGATGCTTATTTCATGGTAGTGATGGGCATAGGAGTAAAGGCACCGTTACTCCTATGTAACATGGATACATATGCATACATATAACCTCCACAAGTGTGAAGCAAAGGTGGACAGAAATGAGCTGAGTGGGAAAGTCCTCAGGTAACTGTAGAGGTCATGCAGAAGCATTACTGTGTACAACAAAATTAGAAAAATCCCCAATCCATATTCTCAAGCACTGGAGATATTTCTTCTGATCCAGGATCAGAGACCCACTCTGGGAAAGAGTGAAGTGTGAGGACACTTAGATCTCCGGTGGAAACAGGATCCCCAAACCTGTCCCTTTATCCAAAACAGCCTCCAAAATAGATATCACATCGAAACTGCACACTCTGGGTCAAACCTCAATGCTTCCATATCCCCCAAGTGGGAATCTTAATTGTAAAGTAACGAAATCTTCTGCCAAACCTCCCTCCTAAAATGTTAGAGGTGAAAGGAAGGATGGAGAGGTCAGTGGCCCCATCCGACCTCCGGAATCTTCTTAGGAACTCTCAGCCATCAAGGATATCCAAGGCAGTGGGGGTGGTTGACTTCTTGGGGAGGGGGTATCCAGAAGGCCAAACGGGGTGGGTGGCAGGCGGGGCGGAAAGGAGGCGAGCAGGTAGAAGGTTATTACGGAATTGCTTCCATAAAACCTGTGGCTGTTGTAAAACTCTGCTTTCCAAAGACTTTATTTCCCCTTTCTCTCTAACATCCCCCCCCTTTTTTTCTTTTTACAGCACTTTTCCTGGGAGGGGGTGGCCAAGGGAAGCTAGAGATGGAAGACAGTCAGGCTCCATCCTGGGAGTTGACTGGACAGGTTTGTGAGAGGCCGAGAGAGAAGCAAGGTAAGGCTGCAGGGGTATTCCAGACCTTC